AACACACCATCTTTCTTTTAAGAACCGGTTAAGAATCGGTTTTTAACTTTTATTCAACTTTTATTAATTTTATATTTAAACACATCTATTATCTCCTCTCTTTACTCAAATTTTATTAATTTTATATTTCAATACCCTCCACAAAAATACTATCTTTCTTCTTTTTATTCAAATTTTAATAATTTTATATTTTAAAAATCACTCTAAAAACTACCAATAGAGATGCGCCACTATATGTTAAGTGTCATAAATTTTCTATCCACGACATATGGCCTTCGTATACCTTTTGACTTGGGGTCAAAGATGTGTTTGTTCCCCTCGTTAACAACAATTTGACAAAAAAGTTTGATGATGTCATATAGACATATAGTGACGTATGTCATTCAGCTGCTTAGGACTCTTCCTTGACGATTTTGTATATAAATCTTCGTCTTGAGAATATTTCCATAAGCTTCGTCTTCTTCTCTCTCTCTTTCGTCTCCGATCATCATCGAATTCAATGTCGACCTACAAGCTCAATTACACTGTACTGCCTTTTTTTTTTTTGGGATATATTGAAGTAGTACAGTTTGGGATTTTTTTCTTTCTGCTTTGCGTGTTGGGTTCATGATTTGGCTTTCTGGGTTTTTCTTAAATCTCTCTCTCCTGTTTATTTTTCGTCTTCAATTTGGGATTTTTATAGCAAATTTGTTAAATCTCTCTTTGGGGATTTATGATCGCCGCAAATTTCGCTTATTGAAATCGATTCTGGTGAAATCGGTATTTTTGGTTCCTTATTGTGTGTTTTGAATCAGAACGTTTTGAGTTTGACTTAATTGGTTATCTTTGCAGGATTCGTTTGTAAATAGAGATGCAGCAAACAGTTTGTGCTCAAACCCAGAGAATGGTTTTAGTGATTTGTCTTCATTTGCTCAATCAGAGAAAGCTGTTCAGGAGCTTCTTAGTCAACAGACTCCTATGCAGGCAACAGACGATCATCTCATTGTGTTTTCAGAGGGTTTGAGAAGTATGTGTAAGGCATCTCCAACAATT